TTCAGAGCAGAGGCTGGGAGAGCGCTGCCTCCCCAAAGCTGGGGGCGCGGCAGGGAGAAGCGACAGGAGGGGTCCCCTCGTCAAAATCTCGGCTGTACCGCGATGCGGGCAGTGCTTTTGGAAGGAGATTCCGGTGGTTTTGCTGGGCAGAAGCTGCTTTGCTAAGAAAACCATTGGCTTCTCCTCTTGGCAATGGCTTTTAGTGACGAGTGTGACTAAGATGTCCCCTGGAGAGCTGGTGTGTGGGCGGCAGTGCCGCGTAATTCCCGGAAACGTTGGTACCGGGATTTGGCCAGGCTGCCTTTTGGGTTTCCTTTGAACCGGAGCCGGGCAGCGGCTGCTCCCATGGGGCCGTTCCTGGGGCTGTGGCACAACCCATGAGCCCTCTCCTGCACGGGGTGGCCGTGCTGTGCCGTGTCCCATCGGCCTCCCGTTGGTCCACCGTGGCTCCGCGGGGACGTCCTGCCATTGCCCGTCCCCCATCAAAAGCCCCGTGGTCCCTGCTCCCCTTCGGGCACAGTTACCCCCCGTCACCGGGGCAGGGGTGGGGGAGGGCGAGGGGCCGGGCCCAGCTCCCGGCTCTGCACCAGCGCCTCTACTTGCCCAGTAACAGTGAGAAACGGGACGGCTCTGTCCCCGAGAGCGGGGCCCGTTGCCTTCCCTGGGCCAGGAGCGAGGAGCGGAGGCTGCCAGCCAGGGCGGAGGGTGGAAGGTCCTTGTTACAGGTCACCAAATCCAGGCAGAGCTGGAAACGAAGCGGATCTCCTGCTGTCGAGCCAAGCTTCGGGCGTGCTGGAGAAAACTCCCCGTGCGGGTGCCAGCCCTGGGCCTGGCAGCGGCTGCAGCGTGGCTGCGTCCCCGTGCCGACGGGGAAGGCGCACGGGAGGCCGGGCTGGCACAGCACCGCAGCCCCGGGGAACGGGGCTCTGGGGGCGGCCGCCACGATGCACCAGCGCCGGGGCTTTCGCCGGGTGCACCCCTGCGCGGCTGTGCGGCGGCGGTGGGGGGCGCCGCTGGGTCCCTCCGTGCTCCTCGGGACCCCACGCCGGCGCCGAGGGGCCCGGGTGGCCGCTGCCTTTTAAGGCTGCTCTGGGCTGATGAATCGTCTGCCAACCTGCACGGCGGCGCTCGGCAGGCAGCGGCACGCCGGGGGTCCCGGGTGGGCGGCGCGGACCGTCTGCTCAGCGTTAAGGAATGATGGGTTTTCCCTGGCAGCGCCCTGTTCTCTTCCCGGCTGGGGCTGGGGG